CAACTCCCAGAATTCCCCAGCGAGCATGTGGAATTCTGGGAGTTGAAGTCCCCCCATCTTAAAGTTGCTGAGGTTGAGGAACCCTGCCCTAAAAGATAAGTGCCTTTCGGTAGTTCTGCCCTCACGTTTCTCCAAAGCAGCAAGATTTAGAACTCCCACTAGTTCTTGTCTCCACAGCTGTTCAGCACTGAAAACACTATATCAGATTTCAGTTCTAACTCAATGTTTCCATTTCTTTGCAAAGTCATTCTTTGCATTTGTTAAATTAATGAATCAGAACTTTTTCAGGTTTCAGATTTCCTGAATTTGTATTTATTATCTCATTTTTAAGTAAAATTAAGTCTCATAAAATATTGACATTTTGGATATTATAAATTCTCTCTGAATAAACACACACATACACCCAATAGGTAAGGAAGTCAATAAGTAAAAGATATTTCCTATACATAGAACCTGATCTCCTGTCTCAAGTACCTTGTAGGTGAAGACCTTTTCAACTTTCCAACTGGTCCTTGAAAAAAGATGTGTGATAAAAATATAGTTCTTAGCATCAGGGGTATCTCTCACTCACATTTGAAATGTGAAGTGCCTTTGGAACAATTCTCTGCAGGCTTACTACATAAACATGTATTTTCCAGCAAATCAGTCATGGGCTTGATATACCTCATCCCAGAACTATAGACCAATGTATTTCCTTTATTTTACCTTCATCTTAATCATGAGGGCCTTAGGAATCATTTGTGCCCCTTAAAGGACAACAAGAATTATGGATTTTTTAAAAAACTACCAGCAAGTTCAATCTGTTCCCATGCATTAATGTTGCCAAGGATTGGATGATTTAAAATGCCTGTTTTTGCATTTATCCCAGTTTATTTTTGGTATGTCTTTTTTTTTTAGGCTTGCTGTCAGCTGAAGCTACAGCTACCAGAAGCCCCTTTAAAATGCAGAAATTCAGTACTTTTTTTAAAAAGCTACAGTACTTTTAAAAAAAGGTGGTATAGACCCGAAGGGCTCTTGCTATCAAAATAGAAGAGCAATGCCCACTGGTGTATTCTGTCATTGCAGTCCAGATGCTGCAGCAGCAGATGTCAAGTTGTGCAAGTGTTACAGTGGTGTTTTGATGATACTCTGGTTTTTTCCCTGCATACAGATTTCCCAGGATATATGCTCTAAAACCTGTGGATCATTGTTGCTGTACTTTCTATACTCCAGCCTCAGCCCACAAAATACTTAAAACTGGCAGCACTATTTTAAATGCTAGTGCAGTTTCTATCATGAAAGCTGAATATGAAACAATGATACATTAAGTACCAATATCTGTATGCTCAGCCTATGCTCACTGAAATCACTGCAAGCTAATCATTTGCCAAACTTGGATCAATTGTAGGTGTCAAAACAAATGTGTCCATTTAATCTCATCCTAATGTTGAGTTTCCCTCCAGGAAAAAAAGCCAGAAAATGACTGAAAACAAGCATACAGTATGTATAATATCACAATAGTTAGAATAAATATGAGATGTTTCCTGGAGTCTGGAGAACAAGAATTCACACATCTCATCTTACTGCCCAACTACTTTGATATTGTGGACTGCATTCTTCTGTGCCCATTCTAGAGAACTTGCAAGCAGGATCAGCAGTGGTAACCTTGCTACCTGGAAATGTTCATGAGCTTTGGCATTGGATATCCCTCCTGTCCTGGCAGATTCCTATATACTGTATATCAGATGTATAGAATAATGCAAGCTATAGGACAATGAATAGGAATCCTGAAGGTGTTGATTAAAGACTCTTCCATTTGGCTATGACCATGGGTTGTTCCATAGGAAGAACAGAACCCCAAAAGAGCTCTGGTCCCAGTTGTATTTTCTTGAACAAAGAGAGCAAATTCCTATAGGAAAAAGTCCATAACTAAAGTCCTTAGTATATATTTCTTTATAATATTCTGGGAAGATGTTGGGAAAGCATAGTTACACTATGCAAGGTGATAGGAGAATACTGCATAGATGGATATGTTTCAGTGGGAAAGAGATTTAAATTCACAAGAACTTACCATTCTCTCAGAGAAATGAGTGCGTATCTGTGTGCGTTCGCATTTATTCCTCCCTTTAAAGAAAATAGGCCACGAGAGCCTGCTTGATCAAGCTGGTTCCACTGGTAGCAGGAGGTTTGCCCAGTGAGAAGTTCATAATACTTTCCTTCTAGATTTGTTGGATGGGAAGAACAGTTTTAAATATGTGTATGTCTGCATCGTGCATTGGAGGAATATTGGATAATTTTAAGTTGGTCATCCCTAGTTGTTAAGTCACAACTTAAGGTTAGAAGAATAGAAAACATGCAGAACCCCGTAAAGAGAACTATAGACATAAGTGGTGAAAGAAGGCTTACCCTAACGAAGCTATCATGGCTAACCACCAGTCTGAGAGCTCTTTGCAGCAGAGAAAGTGTAGTTTCCACATACCTATTACTTAAGTTGCTGTTCTGTAGCAGTAAGTGACAGTAAACAAAACCATGACCATAACATTTCTGGAATTCAATCAGTTAAACAAATCTTAATTCTGAACACAGACCAGCATAAGATTATAGAAATTATAGCCATTCCAGTAATAATAATCTAGTTTTTAAAATATAAGGCATCACTAGAGTTAGCATTACTAACCCAAAACTGTCACACATTATAAACTTCAATCTATATATTGATTGTAGTTAGCATTGTTAAGCTTGTAAAACTGTTTTGTAGGAAAAAAATATAACATGTAAAACAGAGTGAGGTAAAAATTAATAAAAGTGAAAGCTAAAGGCCTATGTGGCTAGAGGTAATAAACAATCCAAAATTATATAAGTTAGCATTACTAACACAAAACTATAAAACATTATAGTTCCAACCGTTTACCATATCACATGAAATTGTCAGGCAAGATTGCTACAGAAAATAAAACTGGATATCTATGTATAGTGTCTCTATATAGTATTATGCCACAGCTGACCACGCTATAGAAGGAAGCATTACATGGCATTACAACATATAAGATTAAAAGACATACTAAAACTAGAATTCATCCCTGTTTCATTCACTAATTCTTGTTCTTGATCAGTTCCTGGCAAATTCTATAGGCTGCAACACTGCAAGGAGTCACTTTATATGCTATTAAAACTTCATTGTCTGGTAATAACCTACAGAGTGACCTGGCTGAGGGGAGATGAAAACAATTTGAATATCCCTATAAAGTAAACAGTGAAAGAGGCCAACTTGCTTGCACACACAAGGCAGAAGCTAGTTTGATCTAGTGCTGGGCAGGAACCCAGGAATTGTGAATCCTCCTTTAGGAAGAAAAGATGGCAGAGTGACTTTGGGCCAGACACTCTTTCTCAGCTCAACCCACTTCACAGGGGGGTTGTTGTAGGAAAAAATAGGAAACAGGAGCATTACGTATCTATGTTGCCTACAGCTGACTAAACATAAAGGTGGGATGAAAATCAAATAAATAAAAAATAAGTGTTCCAAATATTGGGTGGTCTTATATCTCCTCTCCAATATCACTGAGGGGAAAGTATTACATTGTACTAATATGAAGGCCCTTCTGAACTTTGGAAGTCATAACTGTGTGAGGTACCCTGCTGGCACTACTACAAACCTCTAATGATCAGGAAATGAAAGACTGGGCACCCTTCATGTATCAGCCGACCACTCTGTATCCAGGATTTGTTACTTCAAGACGGTGCAAGCAGTTCCAGACACATTGTCCATTCTCCTCAAGTTGGAGGAAAAGCATTTTAATCAATGCAGGCTTTTATAGTGCTCTAGAATGGTGCTGGGGGTGCTGCCAAGCAACTTGTCTGCCTGCCACACAATGTCATTGGTGAAGGTAAGGAGTGGGCGGTTACTGCAATAAGAGAAATTTCCGTCTGGTGTTGAGAAAAGAAGGGGCAAGTCTGTTAGGGAAACACAGCCTGGGTTTAATACTTGATGATGAGCTGTTTGGGAATTTTCATATTTCTTTTTTTAGAAGCAATGAGTGTATTTTCAACAAGGGTAGCACAATTGCAAGGCCTCTAATGTTTCCTTCTGATTGTATAGGGGCAACAGTCAAACGCAGCTGTTTTTATTTTTGTGCCAAGCCAATTTTGCATTCTCTTCTCTTCTCATAGCTAGACAAGAAATGTATGATCATAGCAAAGGGAGTTGGTAAGAAATGGTGATTGTAGTTTCTTACCAATTCAATATTGAGGGAATTGAACGTACCCATTTCTGGCAACATGTGCATCATTAAAATGTGTTCAAAGCAAGCATTCTAGCAAATATAAATATGGCTTAATTAGTTCTATTCTACTGCAGCATCTCAGTAGCAGTGGAGCACAGTTGGTGGGATATCAGGTATTGCAGCATTAGGAGATGATGGGAAAGCATTTAGAAGGCATAATGCATTCCACTGTTGCAAATAGGTATAAAGGACTCTGATTTTTTCTGACTGTTGGAAATCCTCCTCCAACAGCTTTCCTGTCTTGCTTCTCAGATTTCAGCAGGCATTTTCCACACACTTTTAAACCTATCTTTGCAATTATAAGAGCCAGAAACATGCATTTTTCCTTTTCTTTAAAATAAAGGCAAAAAATAAAGTTAAGATTCTCGGAACGTGTTTAAATCCAGTACTAATTTCTCTGCAACCAGGCATGATCTCTGCAAATTGACATGATTTCTATGACTTATCTTTATGAGTTTTTAAGTTTGCAGCATTTGCGCCAGGTTTAATTTTTTAGGATTAAAAAATTAAGTCATACACCCAGCCTCTCCAAATTGAACAGCTTTAAAAAGCATTTCAGTGTTTCACTTTCCCTCCTCCTCTTCTTTACTTCCTCCAGAGAGAGATTATTACAGTTTATGTGACAAGCAACCAATAGGAAGACTTCTCTTTCGGCAATTCTGCGAGACTCGCCTGGAGCTGGAGTGCTGTATTAAGTTTCTTGATTCGGTGGTAAGTTGCTTCTTACGAATCCTTCAAGAGTTTATTGCATATTATGGGCCTCTCTGTGCAGGTACAAAGATGTCCTTCATTTTTTGTTCTTTCACAGTTTGTACCTCTTGCATTCCATTACTTTTGTAGTTCTACCATTAAACTTTCTCCTCTACCCTCAGGCTCTGTGTGTGTTTCTGTTTATATAGCTAAATAGATCAGGAGCTTTATATAAGAGAGTTTTCATGGGTTACTTGTATCTGAATATGTATCAGCAATGTGTATATTATATTTATTGATTTGATTTCTGTCAAAACCCTTAGTCCTCCATCCTCAATGTATGCTACATTAGAAATAGTTATATCAGGGATGGCTGCAGGTGTGGTAAAAAAATCAAAATGGCAGCCACAGTAGTGTGAGGCACATAAAAAAACGGCAGATGATGGCCATCATCTTACTTTTGACCATATCCTGTGGACACCCTTGAGTTATAGATAAGTATCCTGCCCTTAGATTGTTAGGATGTTAAAATTACACCTTATAAATTTAAAGTTGAACCTAAGAATATAGCATATATAGTGGAGAAAGCAAATCAAAATAATCCAGCAGAATTAAAAAGCAATCAAAAAGCAAATACCTTTTTGTAATGTGCCAATGGCTGGTCACTGAGTAATAATGTTTATGGCTAATTATGGCTAATACGTAGCTATATATTATTACCTCTGGGCAATGATTGAAGCTTTGGTCCTATGTGCACTCAGTCTTGGAGTAAGACCCACTACACACAATAGAATTTATTCAAGCAAATAAATGTAGGATTTGAAGAGTATAAACTGGAAGTCCTTTGTTGGTTAGCTATTCCATGAATTCACTTGGTGGCCTTAGGCAAGTCTCAATCTATTTAGCTGAGCCACTCTCTGTAAAGGTAAGTGCTTTGCACTTTGCTGGATTACTAAAATAATGTATGTGAAATATATTGAGCACTAACACTGTGGCACTATGAAGCATCACGGTAGAGAGATCAGACGGCAGCAAGAGGCCTCAGGCTGCTAAGAAGAGGGCCTTTGTTGCCACCACCACAAACAATGGCAAGGATATATTTTTTGCACAGAAAACAATCTTTACTGCAGTTAGGTAAAAAACATTTTGGCAGGTTCCCCCTTCCCCCCCATTTTTTTTTAATGAAATCCTGCTTTGGGAGGAATTGGAGAAGAAGACTATTGCGGAATGTTTCTACTTTGGCTGTTCAGTGATAGCTTGCATTTGTTTATAGAACTTCTGGGTATGGAGTGAAAGCCACATGAAACAGCCTTTTGAAGGCAGCTTATATAACGTTAGGATAGATCTAAACTTAAACCCTTGTTTGTTTGTTTGTTTTTAATCAACTGTAAGAAAAGACAGTAAGACAGGGTTACATCACATGTTATGGAAGTTCCCCAGCCAAAAGGGGTTGGACCTGAGGGAAAGTTCTGATGGAGCCTGCTACATTTTTCTGTTAAGACTACAAAATGTCTGAGCATACGTACTTTAAAAAGTTGCTGAGTTTGCTTCTTTATAGTTTCTAGGATTAAGTATCTCCTAGATGAAATTATTCATTTTCTCCAAATAGAACAACCAACTAAGATTTTTTTTTACAGTGATAAATAAATAGAAAATGTGGCAAGGGGAAACACAATGAGCCATAATTTTTAGGACCAGAATTGTGTTGAAGTAAGTCATAATGACATGTTGAGGACTGCTGTTCTGTCCTCTGTGTATAGAAATGCATAGAAGCTAAAGTACAAATATTTCCTCTTTAGATTAAAAATGTTTTGTATATCAGCAGGACTTCAGTCTCTTGCCATGTGCCATTCTCTCTTTGCAGTCGTCATGAATTGTGACAGTTGAGATAAGACTCCAGATTTTCTAAGCTTTTTTAAAATAGCTCTTTCATGAATGTGATTTTTAATCTTTGAAATAGGTTCCAAAGGGTGGTAATGAGGGGTAGGAGGGAGAAAGCATCATTAAGATGCTATAAACATTCTTGTCTATTGGTGCTTTGAAGAGGCAACATGACCTGCAGTCTGATAAAATCTAAATGGACAAGAAATGTTATGAAAGAACGCTGCAAACCTCTTTGTACAGACTTTATGGGTATTTAATTGCTTCATCCTTTTACATTTAACAGGAGTGGAAGGTTTGTAGTGATGTCTATTTTAACAGTCAGTGTGTTTCTTATCTGAAGCGTGCTTATCTGAAAATTTCTTTCATAGTGGCTGTTTAACAAGAGAAATTTAATTGTACTGCTGATTTTTAAAGCACTCTGAAATAATATTATGATAAGAATGGCTGGCTCATCGTAGGTACACTTTTGAGGTGATGCAAAAAAGAAAAAAGCCCACCTCATTTTCAATGGAATGAAATGCTCTTGGGAATACAGCAACAGTTTTACAAAGTTCTCATGATCTGAAGTGAAGGTGGTACGATATCCTAAGGACATTGTGCAGACCATCAACTGTTCAGGTAGTCATGAAATTAAAAGTTGTCTTTGGCAAAATTAGAAATTTAAGTTCTCCTGTACATTTTTCACATGAATGCAATTTTGGTAAAAATGAATGGGCTGATGGAAGAGGAACAATTTCATTTCAATATTGACTTATTTCTGGAAATGCTGTGGCTTTTAAAGAAGCTAAGTAAAGTATTTGAAGAAGGGGTATGCGCACTAGTACAAGCAAAGTGCCCCTCATCAAAGCACTTAGAGGAGGCAGCTTCAGAAGGCTTGTCCCAGCTGCTTTAAGGGCCTTCCCATGTGATCTGATGACAGAAACAGCTTCAGACATGAACACAAAGTATATGTTCTACCACTGAGTTAACTGTCTTTCCAATAAGTCTCTTTGTAAAAGTAGTGCCTAGATGTAGTTTACAAAGTTGGGAGAAAAAAATCTCTAAAACTCTTCTTTAACATTATAATTCCAGAGGTGTTTGGTCATTCCTAGATAGTAAGACCAGCAATGCCTGGAAGATGAAAAGTGTCTGCTGGGAGGATGGGCAAAGAATGGCGCATGCACACAGACATAATCACACAAACGCCACAATTTCCTTGAACACTTGAATCAGACATCCTGGTGCAAATACTTAACTGTGGCATTTGTGAGATTGCATCATTGCAAATATGTCATCATTTTGGCATCATGGTGGTTTGATTTGGATGCCATTATGTTGCCCTGAACATCTGAAGGGTACCAAGTTGAAGGATAGAGCTGTAGATCAATCTCTTGGAAGGAATACAGAAAGAGTAAGGTACATGTGGATACAGAGAGGGAGGGAGGCAAATATTTTAAAAATATTTTTCTCTGTATTTTCAATTCTTCATTTTCAGGATGTTTCCCTCTTAAACATTTCCTAGATTCAAATCAGCCATTGGTAAATTTCATAACAAATGTCACCACATTTCCTAAAAACCGAGAAATTGTTCTCATAGGTAAAGATGATTCAGCATGAATTCTACATGGCAAAGTTGTCAAATTTGCATTTAAGATGCATAGAAATAGTAAGTCAATTATTTGAATTATAATAACTTAAAGAACAATTTCAAGACTTCTGCTGTTCCTTTCTACATATACTTTTTAAATAAGACTTCAGCCAGCCTTTCAAATGAAGATGTCTTCAAATAGCGAACTGCTCTTTTTAAAATAGATCTGCAGCATCATTCATGGGTAGGGTATCTCTACCCACAAAGGTACTTGATTGCTAAAAATGTTTGTTTGCCATTTAAAACATCCCATTATCTAATATGATTTATTAAATTATGTCATCCTGCATTGGATGTATATAACAAGAACATTCTGGCTGAGCCAAAGTTCATTGTCTGACATAAATAGGAAGTAATTGGTTTGGCATTTATCTGGGAGACTCTAACCTTTGAGGATCCAACCTCCTGTTTTCACACATACCATGGGATTATAACCATGTTTAGATAGAAAATATCAAAGCCACATCATTTCAACTAAATTAAATATTAACATATGAATATATACACACATGAGTGTACACAGAGAGGATATTGTAACCTATAATTGCACTTTAAATATGGACCCTGCCTATTTAAAGGAGGGGTCCCATTTGGCTCCTCATTTCTAGCCGCCTTCTGTCTAGATAAGTTTGGTCTAAAAATTCAGCAGACATTTGACCTAAGACTGAAGAGTATTTTGTGACTACATCTCTGATCAGGTAGAGATTTTCATAGTGCAAGCCACCTGATCCTTCTTATATGGAGGTACCATGGATTAAAGTTCAAAATTTTCTGCATGTGAAAAGTGTATTTATTATTATTATAATCCTTCCTCATATACATCTCCATGCATGATGAGGAGCACAAGAAATACAGGGGTCTGCAAAAGGTTTTACTGCCACAGTGCAAACCTAACTGTTCCCTTTGCATGGGTGTAAATGGAGAGCACCAATGTTTGTGCTAGGTGGTTTACATTTAAAACCACAGAAAAAAGAGAAAGAGAATGAGTACATGAGTACATGAGTACATAAACAGAGCATGTGCATAAAACAGTGTTTCTCAAACTTGGCAACTTTAAGATGTGCGGACTTCAACTTCCAGAATTCCCCAGCCAGCATGTGGAATTCTGGGAGTTGAAGTCCACACTTTTTTTTAATTTAATTTTTATTAAAGACAATGTCTTCACAAAGTTAAAAGCTAAACACAAAGAAATAGAAAAAAAATAGAAAAAAGAAAATGATATAGAAGAAAAATAGGAAAGATAGAAAAATAAAAGGTGATAAACAATATAACAAATCAAGAAGAAAGAGAAAGAAAGAAGAGGAAATATGACTTCCAATCCTCTTTACAACACTGACAAACATAATTAATACTGTTTTGCCCCTCCAGAATTATATAACATAGCTGCTTTCTTCCCATATACAGCCCTTTTTAATCAATAAATCCAGAAATCACCAGTTCATTTTTATCTATTTTCACAAAAAGTCCCTAAAGGGTTTCCAGTCTTTTATAAAAGTGAAGTCCACACATCTTAAAGTTGCCAAGTTTGAGAAACACTGGCATAAAAACACTATTATAAATAGTTGGACTTGGTTAGACTCTGATCTTCTTGCAGCAGAATGTTTGCTTCACAAATGAGATGAGCTGCAACACATGAATTGTTCAGCAAAAGAAACCTGCTGATTGTCCTGCAGATTCTTAGAGTACAATCACCTGCATGCCAAATTGATATACAAAGCACAATTAATCGTTTTTCATCTTTTTTTTTTTTTCTAGGCAGAATATGAAGTACTTCCAGATGAAAAATTGGGAGAGAAAGGCAAAGAAATTGTGATGAAATACCTCATCCCAGGGGTAAGGAACACCTGAAAAGATAGTGTTGAAGAGATGTAACAGGAAAAGAGTGAAGCAAAATCTTGCTATTATGTCTAGTGAACATTTTCTCAATAGTGTTAACTCTGGAGCAAATGTTTTAAAAATTATGTGTGGGACTATCCTGGGATTATGTTGCATGGCTGAACATCTCTATCCCACCTGAAGCACCAGCAGATACTGTACAAGTAAGTCATTTTAGCCTGGCATTCTCTTTCAGGTGCTATCTTTGTATACACAGAGAATTTTGGGTAGATCATCAGTGCTCCATCTCTTTGCTTATAATTGTTCAGTGGGTATATTGCTCAAAAGTTCCACTATTGCTCTGTGATCTACAGTAGAGGTGTGCAAATCCTTGATGGAACTTTGGTTCCATAAAAGTCTGAGTGAAGAATCCCTTTGTAGTGGCTTGACTTTGCAGGCCTTTCTCATTGTCTCTAACAGTTGCCAAGTCAATGGAGGCTTCTGTATATGTGCAGCATCTGCAAAGTAGGTTCTTCTGGCTTTTACTGTGTGACAGAGCTAAGAAAAATGGGGAAGCTTCAAGTTGACATAAAGTGTTTCTTAAAAACAAATGTGGTCGATCTTCTTGTCAACAAACAGAATCATATCACTTCTGCTGTACAAAGCTCCTTGTTGAGGCAAATTGAAGTCACTTCTTCAGTTCAGACTTAAACAATAATACATGTTATTGAAGTTCAGATACTTCATAGTGATAAAATATTTATCTGATCACCGTAATGAGAAGCACCTGAAAGACCTTGGAATGCTCATAATGAATTTAATTTAGCTGCAATCCCATTATAGATATATTTTCACCTGCAAAACTGGACTGATTTCTCTGTCAGCAGTTCTCCCCACTTTCACAAAAGAAAATTTAACAATTCCTATAGAGTAAGTTTCAGTTTATTTCAGGCCTTTCTCTGTGAAACTAACTGCTGTCAATAAGTTAGCCATTTTGTCTAGGAATATGCAGTCTAATTAGTGCGGTGGGCTATTTTTCTGAACAATAATTATGCTATTGAGAAAATGGTGGACCTGCAATATAGCCTGCAGAATTGAATTTTTTTTCATCCCTTTTGATATTTTGGCCTAGTGGCACAACTGTCTGTTCTCCCTGTACTCTCTACTATTGCAGTCATGCACGCTGGGAGTGTTAGGTGTATTCACCATTCCCGTGAAAAGCAGGCAAGACATAACCATAACTCTATCCATGTAAACCCAGCCTTGAGACAGTGAAATGAGAAAGGAGTGGAATATTCAGTCTCCTCCTTGAAGAAGATGTTTTCTACTTTTTAAATGTCCAGATGATATTTCTACCACAAGCTTTATTTGAGCTCTCAGGGGAAAGGTAGTGTATTAATCCTTCCTATTAAAATGCAGCACTTCTGAATCATAGGCACAGATGATTTCTGGCAGTTACTTTTCCTCAGGACTGAGGCAATTGCTTCACTATCATCCTCCCTTTCAATTCAGAGGCTTCCTTTCATCTTGTATTAGGGGTCATTATACTTAAGCTGGTTCAAATACTTAAGAGGCATTTGAGCATTTGTCAATCTTGGCTTAGATCTTTGCTATCTGTAAGGAAGTATATGTGGGAATCTGTATCCATTAGGTGGCGATCTCAGCAGGACACAGAATCTCAGGGGGTAATTGTTGTTGTTGTTGTTTAGTCCTTAAGTCGTGTCCGACTCTTCGTGACCCCATGAACCATATT